CTGCCAGTTCCTCAGAGCTTCAGAAGCAGTATTTTGTCTGAGAAGTGGGGTTATTCTTTTTTTTATTTTTTTTAAAGAATTATTTTATTTAACTTTACTTATTTTAATTTGACCAGGGAGAGACAGAGTGAGCGAGGAGAGAGAGAGTGAGAAAGCAAGCTGCCAGGTCTGGGACTCGAACCGCAGTCATCCATGTGGGAGTCCAGCGTCCCTAACCACCATACCATCTGCCGGCCTCCGGGTTATTTTTCATTGACCCCATTCCAGCCCTCACTTCAGAGAACTTGAGGAGGTCAAGGTAGATTTTCTACTTTGGAGGCCAGTGTCTTTACTGACCCTCAGTGTAATCTCTTTTCAGCACAGCCTAATGTCTCTCTGTCCTCTCTGCTGATTTACATGGCAGGTTTATTTAATTAGCCAGAGGTGAGTCAAAGTGCAGCTTGTCCTCAAAGTTAATTAATATTTACTGAGCCACCACACGGTGAGGGACGCCAAGACTGAACTGTGTTCCCTGTAGCTGCATAGGGAACAGACTTCAACCCCTTGTGCTTAGCTGGGGTTGAGAACTAAAACCAGCCAAGGAGTTGGGCTGATGGACCTTTGAGCTACTGTGAAGAGGGTATAAGGCCATGTACCTAACATGCTTGATCACAGTGGTCATGCTTACCACATGCTTGGCATGCCAGGAGCTTAGATACTGTGTTTATATAACTTTTAAAGAGGATTGGCAGAGAAAAGTGTTTGGTAGACCATGTGCCTTTGGGGCTTGTTCCAATGGGGAGAGGGGTAATAGTAGAATGGTAGTAGATGCCACAGGGACACAGACCCTCAGGCGCACTTACATAAGCATTGTATATGAGTAAATGAAGCATAATTCCCGTTTTCACCTAGGCTCCTTATAACAGAGGGAGAAGGTGAGAGTGGCTGGGAGAATTCATAGTAAATGGGATCTTTCCTCTAGCTAATTACAAAGGAAAGAAAACCTGGACCGGGCAAAGGCACATAGCCTGCGTGGTATCTGCTAGACCAGGACCCGCACCCTTCCTCCTCTGTTCCTTCCTGTACCACCAGAACCCTCTCACCCTGACTTTTAAGATTTTTTTTTCTTTTTTTTTTGCCATAGGATGTGCATACTTGCTGGAAAGAGACAAAGAGGGAAAGTGAAAAAACACTCGCAGGAGGGATGGTCACACTGCAGTCCCTTCTCCTCCATTCTCCCCTCAGGATTTTGGGCATGCATGTACATGTGCTCCATGATTTTCAAGCCACTGTGTTTGGGAGTCAAGTCATGTAGTTGGCTGTGTGGGATCCAATTGCCTTAATCACTACACCACCTGTTGACCTTCCATCCCACTCTTATCCTAGAAAACTTTTTTTTAAAGTTTATTTTAGGGGTCAGCAGGTGGCATGGTAGTTAAGGCACTGGACTCCCACATGGTTGACCGCAGTTCAAGGCTCAGACCTGGCAGCTGCTTTCTCATTTTTCCTTTCTCTCTCTCTGGTCAAATTTAAAAATAATAATAACAAATGGAATTAAATAAGTAAGTATTTTCAAAAGTTTATTTCGGGAACAGCAGGTGGTGTAATGGTTATGTCGCTGGACTCCTACCTAATCAACCATGGTTCGAGTCTCAGACCCAGCAGCTTAAAACTCACACTGGGCACATGTGCACAATGCCCAAAATCCCCAAAGGAGAATAGAGTAGAAGGGATTGGGGTGATTCCTCTCTCTGTCTCTGGTGAGTGCATGTGCTCTATAATAAAAATCTCTCTCAAAAAAAAGTTGATTTTATTGATGGTGGAGAGCACATGTACGAGAGAAAGAGAAAAGCTCCATGCTATGATCCCTTTTCCCCGACGCTCCAACCCCTCAGGATCTTGGGCATGCAAGCATGTACTTGTAGTGTTCCCAAGCTGACCCAGGGATGGAAACCCATAGCCAGCCATGTGGCCTCCTGAACTGCAGTTCACTTTGCTACCAACTACATCATCAGATTGGGCCCCAGAAGACTTTGGAGCCTGGCCTTTCTTTGAGGTTGTTTGGGCCCCAAGCCAGTCCTAGCCTTCTGTGGAGTGCCCTGACAAAGCCATCACTGTGGCAGGATTCAGTGACAGGGCTTGCCCTCTACCTTCTGCCTCCTCCAGGCTGCCACACCAGAAGAGCACCTCACAGTCTTTCCTGTCTGACTGCTGGGTTACAAAGAAGTCCCATTGCCCAAAGTCCTCTTTATGGTTGCCAATTCTGAACAACCAGCTCCCGACTCTCCCAGCTCATCCTCTGGGCAGCTGCAGTCCTCCCCATGGAAATCCCAGCATAGCCAGTGTTGGAGTGGCTGAGTTTTTCAGTCTCTATCTGCCAGCCTTGACCCCATGACCCCATCAGGGTCTGCCCCAGAGTCAGGTTGAGGGGTTACCATGAAGCAGTCCAGTCCCAGGCATAGACAAGCCTTTCTATAAGCCAAGACCAAGTAGGGAGACATGCCACTGAGACAGGACCTAGTGGTCTGTCTCTCTCCAGCTGCCAAAAAGATGGCTCTTCTGAGTCAAAGATTGGAGCAAATTACTAACAGCCCTGGCATCTTCTGGTATCTAACTTTTCCTGGTCAGATTGGGGCAAGAGGCCACAGTGAGGCCTGAAAGCTTCATTCTAGGCTTGCTGCATCTTCTGTACAAAGCCAGAAGCTGGGTGGAAAGGGGTCTCCCCAATTATCTGAGATGACTTTGGTGGAGAAGATTGAGTGGGAAATGGAGCAGAAACTGACACAGCCAGTCAGCTACAGCCAGCTCTGGTGGGCTTGAGGTTCAGAAGCCTCTGCGCCCCCTGCTGGTCCCTCAGACAGGCTCCCACCTTTTGGCTTCCTCTTCCTAAGCAGGCTTCCTGGTCTTCCCCACTCCCACCCCCCACCCCCACCATTC